CGTTGTTACTCAACCAAGTCAAAACGGCTGAAGCGATCGGGATGAAATTTGAAACAGGGGTAGGTAGATTATAGTCTGGAATAACACATAGGCTACTTTCTATATCAAAGGAACGCGGTCGTAACCGCGGGCAGAAACTAGTCAACAATAATATTACCCTTTTTCATCCAATCGGAATTTCGATTCAAACTCCGCGTCAAACTCTGTCTTCTTCTCTTGTAAAACTCTGGCGTACTTCTCTCCCTTAAGTGGAGGTGTAGAGAGATCTTCTGTCGTGTACACAATATCTACACAAAACGGAGTCTCCACTAACATTTGGATTGGGACGAAATTGATGTCTTTTTCCTGTAAAAAAGAAATGTTGATAATTTAGTTTTAATGTCAAATTTTTTATATAATTTTAATCTTCCATACAAGCTGTTGTTTTAAAGCCGCGTCATTTTCTAGGAGGTAACTCGCCTATAGATTCTGAGTTCGAATCAATAAAAAAAATTGTACTTCAATATTTTTCATTTTTCTGTAAATTACGGAAATCCGTAAGTGCGAACTACACGCCGCCGTCTTGTAACTAGCTTTATAACGCGGCTTAACACACACAAACTCAAACACGTAATTGATATTATTCCTAATTCCATAAAACTCCAATAAGAAACATTGCTGTCGCTTATTCTGAAATACTGTCGAACTTAAACGATTTATTATAGCCGTATTTTTAACTATTGGCCCGAAATATTCTCTTACATTGAACCTTTATGACTTCTGTGACATGCCCCCGGGAAACGCCACGGTTTCAAAACTACACCTTGTACCTTATAAATAAAATAAAATCCGTTCGTTAGTCTCGCTAAAACTCGACAACGGCTGAACCGAAATGGCTAACTTTGGTCTTAAAATGTTCGTGGAAGTCCAGGGAAGGTTTAAAAGGTGAGAAAAAACTTTTAGGCGATATGAAATTTGCCGGGTCATGCATGAGGGTGCGGGTCCGAGACCTACAAACGGCAAGTACCAATGTGACTTTTTCCGAGTTATATGTACCTTCTAAAATTATCTAGACACCACTGACAAACGGTGAAGGAAAACATCGTGAGGAAACCTGGACTCATAATTTCTAAATATAAGTTTGGAATCGTCAACCCGCATTGAGCAAGCGTAGTGATTAATGCTCAAACCTTCTCCTTGTGAGAAGAGGCTTTGCTCAGCAGTGGGCATTTATAGGCTGTTGATGATGATGAAAATGATGATGAGAAAGTATATATTATATATTTTTATAATAACTATCGTGAGACATACTAAATTAAATAAAATCGCGGGTTACTCACGTGAATATACTAAAAAGCTCTACTAGTTTCTAACCAAAAAGGGGTTCTGTTCGGGGGTCCAGTAGGCTGGGCGACATCGCCACGACCGCGCACGCTGCTCATGAGGAAGAACCCCTCTGTAGTTCGAAACTAGTAGAGCTTTTCTCAGTATATTCACGTGAGTAACCCGCGATTTTACTTAAAAAAATGTATATTTTGTAATATGAATTTGCTCTTACTCACCTTAATATGCAGTTCATCATCAGCTCCAAGTACTGCTAGCTTGCCAAACATGGAATGTCTTTCAATTTTGAGTAGAGAATAGAGTTTCTCCTTCAAGAGATGAAGCCCTGGTGCATTCGCCTCGGAGTATGACGTGTGGAGGAGTTTGCCTGAAAATTGTGAAAAAAGAATATATCTAATACTGTTATATAAAGCGGAAGAGTCTGTTTTTTTGTTTGTTTGTTTGTTTGAACGCGCTAATCTCCGTAACTACAAGTCTGATTTGAATAATTCTTTTTGTGTTGGATAGCGCATTTATCGAGGATGGCTATAGGCTATAAAACATCACGCTACGACCAATAGGAGCTGAGCAGAGCGTGTGAAACCGCGCAGAAGTAGCTAGTATCATCTTTATTGTAAACTAGTTGTTACCCGCGATTTCGTCCGCTTAGAATATGAATTTTAGAACATGACTTTTTTGCAAATCGGTCCAGCCATTTCAGAGGTTAGCCAGTACAAAAAGACTAACAGCCAGAAAGAAAGAAAATAAATCTATTTGCACCGTTACAAATAAAAAAAAAAAAAAAAACGAGAAAATACGGATGAAAATTAAAAATCTAATTAGTTCGTCATTTAGGTAATGAAAAAATATTAGACACGTATTTTTTTGTCGTATAACAAATACTTAATGGCAGCTAAAACATCATTTCTACGTATAAAATGTACATAGAAGTGACGTCACGCGACATTTCAAATCAATATAACGTCGAAAGTATTCGTTTCTGAAAGAAAATAAAAAATACGTGTCTAATGATTTAAAATAATCTACCAGACGGACATTAAAATAAATATTACTCAAAGTCAAAGTCAAAGCATTTATTTCAATTAAACCATAATTTGGTACTTTTGAAACGTCAACAAATACAAAATAAATAATAGTCTGTCAGTCAGTCCGTCAGTGAAGCTAGGTGAAGCTAGGTGCTTATCTACCCTATTGACACTTACCTTGCTGAGGCACCAAATTGATCCTAAAGTTGTGCAGTTGAGGAGTATGGCCTAAGATGGAGCCATCTTCATACCACAGCCTGGAGTGGGGGGCGGCAGGGCCCAAGGACTCGTCTAGTGCAGCATACCATATCAATACGAACGGTACTTTCGCATGACCCTGAAAGAACAATATGAAAATGAATGAATAAATGATGAATTGTGCGACCTACCCAAATTTTTTTTGGTTGGTATTGTTCGTCGGCGGTTCGGATCAGTCAGCAACATTTGTTACTTGAGCTGATTGGAAGCTGGCAAATGCGTGCTGCCATCAGAACAGGGGCTTACTCTTGAATCCAATTCCGATCGATCGATATTGTATAGTGAAATTCTGATGTTCCCCACTTAAAAAAAAAGTTGCAACACTAGCGCCCATTGCATCTGTATTGCGTGGATATTGAATGAACTAAACGGTTTTTTTTTTAGGGGAGGAAAATATTCGAATGACTTCTCCCGCCTGGGTGAGGCGGAAGGGAGTGTCAGACTCTTACTGACTAAAAACCACCCCGTTCCTACTCCTGCAATTCGAGCCGGAGCCCCGGTAATCCGTTAGGTTCTCCGCGGCTCCGTATCGGCATCAGCCCTATTGAGCCACATCTGTGGTGGTCTGATGGAGACCCAAAATATAAAAAAACCCTTACCTTAGTAGTAACATTAATCCTGGCTGTCCAATGACCCCCGTGTTCTCCCCCCGGGGTCTTGATGAAGGAGGTGGTGATATTGTGGGGTTTGTCCACTATCAGCTGTTCCCCGAACGTGACCCCATCGTGGCGGAGCCAGCCATACGTGTCTAGATTGTCGTTTTGGTCACACCAGTGGCTGGAAGAATAAATATTAGTATCTTTATTGGATTTATTTATTTTGCTTACTTGATTACACAAAAAAATATATTTAAAAATTAACTATTAACTCTTTATTTATTCTTCACACTTGTTTCATATATTTTTTTAATATTACTATTAAAAGTACTAATTATTTATTAATATTATTACTAAAAGTATCCTCATTGGTCGAGTGGATTGAGTTTAATTTTTATCGTAAGTACAATCACTGGGCTTCGTTTTTCGAAACATTCGGGTAGCCCGAAGCCTGGAATGGTGCCCAGTGCATGGCAATAACTACTGGCGCTTACCAATAAATGAATGGGACTTTAACGTAACTGATGAAAATTAGGTTTTTTTTATTTGCCGGGAAACACAGATTCCGGCAAGTAATTCTATTTCTTACCGTTCGCACAAGAAAGCTTGGTCTTAAAATAAATTAATTACTTAAACTGTCAAACACCAAGCGGTCACCGGAGACCGCAACCTATTGTTCTATAATTGTGTCTATAATGACGGTACTCGACGAGTTAAGGCACTAATATTTATCAAGTCTGTCAGTGGCCCTTCGAGCATGCTGCTTGTTTATCAACCCTCATCCTGACTTGCAAGTAATCGAATAAAATTTAATATGTGCATTTTTCGCGAAACTTTCTACCTCACCGCACAGCTTAACTCGTCGAGTACCGTCATTATAGACACAATTATAGAACAATAGGTTGCGGTCACCGGTGTCCTCGCGGTGTTTGACAGTTTAAACTGAGGAATGAACTGTCACTTGCGGTGTTTTTAAACCGATATGACTTCAAAGAAAAGGCCAGCAACGCACTTGTGACTCCTTTTGTGTTTCAGGTGTCCATGGGCGACGCCGATTGCTTACCATCAGGTGATCCGTCTGTCTGCTCGTTTGAAGATAATAATAGTGACATTTCTATCATTTAACTCGTCGAGTACCGTCATTATAGACACAATTAAAGAACAATAGGTTGCGGTCACCGGTGACCGCTTGGTGTTTGACAGTGTAATGCTGGAATACTGAAACGTTACTCAAATATAAGTCGCGCTTAAGCATAGTTCTGTCTCTACAAGTTCTTTGTAAAATGACAGAGACAGCACGATA